CTTTCCATTTCTCCTCCATCAGTCTCAGATTCTCAAAAACGCTGAAGTTACATCTAGCAGCCAACTCATTACAGAGGATAACAGTACTAAGGAGATGAATGACAGGAACTAGAAAGTAACTTGCAAATGGGAAACATAAGAAAAGAAAAAAGGAAGTTAAATATCAAGAGAAATATGAAGGCCTGGTGCAGTGGCTCACACCGTAATCTCAGCACTTTGGGAGGCTGAGGCAGGTGGATTACCTGAGGTTGGGAGTTCAAGACCAGCCTGGCCAACATGGAGAAACCCACCCCCTCTGCTAAAAATACAAAATTAGCCAAACGTGGTGGTGCAGGTCTGTAATCCCAGCTACTCAGGAGGCTGAGGCAGGAGAATTGCTTGAACCCGGGAGGCAGAGGTTGCGGTGAGCCGAGATCGCGCCATTGCACTCCAGCCTGGACAAAAAGAGCGAAACTCCATCTCAAAAAAAAAAAAAAAAAGAAAGAAAGAAATATGTAGGAAGATGAAACAGCAGACCTTGTCATCTTCTGATTTATTCTCTTTTAGGTTAAATCAGGGCTTGTTTAAGGTAAGGTCACAGGCAATCAAGAGCCCAATTTCAGGGATGAGGTATGAGGTCTTTGAGATTTTAACCTAGTCTCTGGTCACGCTGGAGAACTTGGTTAATTCCAAGGCTACGGGAGCTTGTGCCGTGAGCACCGAGTTTTGTCAGTATCTACCCGGAATTTTGACCTCCCTGTTTCTCATCCCCTCTAGACAAATTACCTGATCCTCAGCACACATTAAACCCTGCCCAAGGCTCCAGGCCAAGTCCTGTGCTCGGTTTGGAAAGGTTTATTCGTAGGAGTAGTATTAAGGGCTATTTACTAAGTCCCTACTGAGGGCCAGGCAAGAGGTGAGGCACTTTCATGTGTGATGTGCATCTCAATTAAGAAGGAAACTGTGAGTCATAGACAATTTCGTTGATTTGCCTAGGGTCATAAAAGAAAGATAGTATGAGGTTGAAATGAAGATTAGAAACCAAGCCTAGGTCCATCGAGGTGGCTCACGCCTGTAATCCCGGCACTTTGGGAGGCCAAGGCAGGCAGATCACCTGAGGTTGGGAGTTTGAAACCAGCCTGACCAACATGGTGAAACCCCATCTTTACCAATAATACAAAAATTAGCCAGGCGTGGTGGCACATGATTGTAATCCCAGCTACTTGGGAGGCTGAGGCAGGAGAATCGCTTGGACCCAGGAGGTAGAGGTTGCAGTGAGCTGAGATTGCGCCATTGCATGCCAGCCTGGGCAACAAGAGGGAATGCCATCTCAGAAAAAAAAAGAAAGAAATCGAGCCTGCTTGACTCCCCAGACCATGGTTTTTCTGGAAGAAGTGCAGTACCATGGAAAGGGAGCTTGAACTCTGGAGCCAGAGTATCTGGGTTCAAACCCTGGCTCTGCCACTCCCCTCTCTGTGCCTCAGTTTCCCATTTGTAACAAAGGAACAGTAACAGAATCTACTTCACAGGATCATTGTGTAGATTAAACAAATTAATATACGTAAGTGCTTAGCCCTTATTAAGTATCCCCAGAATGATCATCATTATTACTCTGTGTAAGAGGAACAGGATCAATTCTATCTAGCTCTGTCTTGTGCCTCAGGTATAATAAGCAGTCATAACGTTACCCTGTTTCTGACACCAAGGTGCCTTCTGGTCTTCAAGCTCCCATTTCTTTAACAAAGGGCCTAGTGACCTACTAGGACCCAGGTTTCCCTGGGCCCGGGGCACCTTATCAGTTCCTCCTTTCTCCTGCTCTCACTCCTGCCTCGTAAGTGGCATTCTGTCCCCGTGCCCCAGCTCCAGGTGGATCACTTTCCAACATGCTTCTCTGCCAGGCAGGCTGTCCACCTCCCCAGCCCTCCCACCTTCCAGGAGCCTTTCTTTACCTCCTGCTGGCCATCCCTGGTGACCGGTGTGCTGTGCTTTGTAGATGTGCCCACTCCAGAGAGAATGTCCTACTTTTTCAAGGTTCTGAGCGCTATCGGCCCTTGCATCCTTCGACCCTTTTACCTGATACTAGTGAATGAGATCATGAAATAGGGCACGTGTCTCATCATTATGAGCAGAACTCTGTCTTAGCATAACCACTGAATGATGATAGATGGGTACCAAGAAAACGAAGCACCCCCACCTCCCTTTCATAGCTGTTGATTCTGTCAACTGCTCTATTTTTTGTTGTTGTTGCTGTTACAAAGTCTCGCTCAGTCGCCCAGGCTGGAGTGCAGTGGCGCAATCTCGGCTCACTGCAAGCTCCGACTCCCAGGTCCAAGCAATTCTCCTGCCTCAGCCTCCTGAGTAGATGGATTACAGGCGCCCACCAGCACAGCCGGCTAAGTTTTGTATTTTTAGTAGAGACAGGGTTTCATCGTGTTGGTCAGGCTAGTCTTTAACTCCTGACCTCATGATGCACCCACCTCGGTCTCTCAAAGTGCGGGATTACAGATGTAAGCCACCGAGCCTGGCCCAATTGCTCTATCATACTTGCTCCAGACCCTAGGTAAGAGAACAATAGTGGGCTGGTGTGATGTTGCTTTAATTAACACACAGACCCACCTACTACTAACAAAAACCTTCACCAGGCTGGTGAGGTGGCTCACCCCTATAATCCCAGTGCTTTGGGAGGCCAAGGTGGAAGGATCTCTTGAGTCCAGGAGTTCAAGACCAGCCTGGACAACATAGAAAGACCTCATCCCTTAAAAAAAAAAAAAAGAAAAAGAAAAAAAAAATCAAAAAAATTAGCTGGGAATGGCAGTACACACCCGTGGTCCCAGGCACTCAGGAGGCTGAGGTGGGAGGATCGCTTGGGGTTGGGAGGTCATGGCTGCAGTGAGCTGTGATTGTACCACCACACTGTACTCCAGCCTGGGTGACAGAGTGAAACCCTGTCTCAAACACAAACAAACCACTACCTCAGCCAGCCAGAGACCTGTTAAAGCTGCATATTAATATTTTAAAATGTAAAGAGATACTTAAGTCTTCACTGTGAAAGAATAAAATAAAATAAATAAACAAAACTAAGCAATACTAATCGCACACCGCGTTCTCCAGCTACTGGAGTTTTGTTTGTTTAATTCTTGCTAATAAAATATCAGAGGCCTACAAGGCAAATCTCACTTGCAAATACCACTTGTTTCTTTTTAGTAATGACTCTCTTCAGTGAGAGACAAAACAAACAGAATGCTTAAAACTATTTTCCAAAATGTAATTGACACATCACTGATAGGAGCATAAGTATGACAATCGCTTCGGAAAACACGCACGTGCTACACTTCTAGGCTCATACCCTTAGAGAGAAACTCAGGCACACGTAGTAAGAGACACGTTCAAATGAGTTCAGAGCAACGGTGTTCCTAACAGCAACCTCTGGAAACAAACCAATGCGTATGGAACAAAGAATAAATATATATCATGGCAGATTCATAGAAAGGATACTATTTTTTAGCCATAAAGAAATGAATGATTTAGGCCAGGCACAGTGGCTCACGCCTCTAATCCCAGCACTTTGGGAGGCCAAAGTGGGTGGATCATTTGAGGTCAGGAGTTTGAGACCAGCCTGGACAATATGGTGAAACCCTGACTCTACTAAAAATACAAAATTAGCCAGGCATGGTGGCGTGCGTCTGTAATCTCAAGTACTCTGGAGGCTGAGGCATCAGACTCGCTTGAACCCAGGAGGCGGAGGTGTCAGTGAGCCAAGGTCATGCCACTGCACTCCAGCCTGGGTAACAAGAGCAAAACTCTATCCCCACACCTACCCCCACCAAAAAAAAAAAAAAAAAAAAAAGGAATGATTTGTAGTTATATGCAGCAATCTCAGGATCAAAATGTTGAGTGAAAAAGAGCAAGCTTCAGACAATACAATGGGGTAAAATGTCTTTTCAACAAATGGTGCTGGGACGAATGGGTATCCAAATGAAAAAGAATGAATCTGCTGGACCCCTACCCTACACCATGTGCAAAAATTAATTCCAAATGGGCCAAAGACCTAAATGTAAGAGCTAAAACTATAAAACTCTTAGAAGAAAACAAAAGTATAAATCTTTGTGAGCTTGGATTCAGGAATGTTAATGTTAAACTAAGGCACAAGGAACTAAAAGAAAAAAAGAAAGCTGGTCTGAAGGTAGTGAGCTATCCCAATTGATTGTTCACACTGAGTTACAGATTGAACTCCTTGTTCTGTTATTTCCCCTTTTCTTACTACTGCATTTGACGAAAGGAAGGAAGGAAGGAAGGAAGGGAGGGAGGGAGGGAGGGAGGGAGGGAGGAGGGAGGGAAGGAAGGAAGGAAGGAAGGAAAAAGGAAGGGGAAAGGGAGGAGAGAAGAAGAGAGGGAGGGAAGAGAAAAAGAAAAAAGAAACGCTGAATTTCATCAAATTTTTTTTTTTTTTGAGGCAGAGTCTCACTCTGTCGTCCAGGCTGTATTGCAGTGGCGAGATCTTGGCTCAGTGAAACCTCTGCCTCCCAGGTTCAAGAGATTCTCATGCCTCAGTCTCCAGAGTAGCTGGGATTACAGGCATGCACCACCATGCCTGGCTAATTTTTATATTTTCAGTAGAGACAAGGTTTTGCCATGTTGTCCAGGCTGATCTCAAATCCCTAACCTCAGGTGAGCCATTGTGCTCAGCCTGAACTTCACCGAAATTTAAAACTTTTGATCCTAGACCAGGCACCTATAATTCTAGCACTTTGGGAGGCTGAGGTGGGCAGATTGCCTGAGCTCAGGAGTTCAAGACCAGCCTGGGCAACATAATGAAACCCAGACTCTACTAAAAATACAAAAAAATTAGCTGGGCATGGTGGCAAATGCCTGCAATCCCAGCTACTGGGAGGCTGAGGCACGAGAATGGCTTGAACTAGGGAGGCGGAAGTTGTATTGAGCCAAGATCACATCACTGCACTCCAGCCTGGGAGACAGAGCAAGATTCCATTAAAATAAAATAAAATAAAATAAAACTTTTGATCCTTTTGTGGTTCACAAGCACAGTGATTGGGTTTTTACACTCCTGTGTGACACGTGCCTCTCTCTCAAACCTCATTACAACATCAGTACATTGCCTATCTGATGTAAAAAATAATTTATTTTGGCTGGGCGTGGTGGCTCACACCTGTAATACCAGCAACTCTGGGAGGCCCAGGTGGGTGGATCACCTGAGCTCAGGAGTTCAGGACCAGCCTAACCAACATGGCGAAACCCTGTCTCTACTAAAAATACAAAAATTAGCTGGGTGTGCTAGCACGCACCTGTAATCCCAGCTACTTAGGAGGCTGAGGCAGGAGAATCACTTAAACCTGGGAGGCGGAAGTTGCAGTGAGCCGAGATCGTGTCACTGCACTCCAGCCTGGGCGACAGAGTGAGGCTCCGTCTCAAAAGATAGTGGTAATAATAATAATAATTTATTTTAGATTTTTAAATGGAAAACTTTTGTGTCTTAAATAAAGGTCACTACGAAAAAGTGAAAAGACAACCCACAGAATGGAAGAAAATTTTTGTAAATCAAATATCTGATGAGGGTCGAGCACTGAGGACATATAAGGAAGTTTTACAACTCAACAACAGAAGACATGTGCCCCACTGAAAGCCAGACAAAGGATTTCAACAGAAACGTCTTCAAAGGGGATATACAAATTGCCAGTAGATGCAGACTTCCAACATACTTAGTCATTAGGGAAATGCAAATAGAAACCACAATGAGATATCACTTTACACTGACTAGAATGGCTAGGACCAAAAAGAGAGTAAAGTGCTGGCCAGGAGGTAGAGAAATTGGAACCGTGGTCCGCTATAGGTGGGAATGTAAAATGGTGCAGGCACTGTGGAAAGGCTTGGCAGTTCCTCAAAAAGCTAAACATAGAATTACATATGACCCAGCAATTCCACCCCTAGGTATATATCCAAAAGAACCCAAAACAGGTGATTAAATAAAAGCTTGTATGTGCTGCACTGTAGCCTGGCCGACAGTGTGAGACTCTGCCTCAAAAAAAAAAAAAAAAAAAGCTTGTATGTGAGTGTTCATAGCAGCATTGTTCATAACGGCCAAAAAGTGGAAACGACCCAAACATCCAATAATATAAATGTTGCCTATCTGTACAATCAAATATTATTAAACCATAAGGCCAGGTGTGGTGGCTCACAACTGTAATCCCAGCACTTTAGGAGGCTGAGGTGGGCGGATCACTTGAGGCCAGGAGTTCGAGAAGAGCCTGGCCAACATGGTGAAACCCCAAGTCTACTAAAAATATAATTAGCCGGCTGTGGTGGCACACACCTGGAATCTCAGCTCCTTGGGAGGCTGAGGTGAGAGGATGGTCTGAACCGGGGAAGCGGATGTTGCAGTGGGCTGAGATTGCACCACTGCACTCCAGCCTGCGAGACAGAGAAAGACTTTATCTCAAAAAAAAATTTTATCTATAATTAAGCCATGAAAAGGAATGAGGTACTGCTTCATATTGCAACACAGACCTTTTATTAAACATTATGCTAAGCAAAATGAAGGCCACACATTGTATGATTTCATTTACAGGGAATGGCCAGATCGGCCAATCTGTAAGGATAGAAAGTACAGAATAGTAAGCTGCCAATGGTTGGGGAAATGGGGAAATAGGGAGTGACTGTCAACGGGTATGAGGTTTCTTTTGGGAATAGTGAAAATATTCTAGAATTGGCCAGGCAAGGTGACACACACCTGAAATCCAGCTACTCAGGAGGCTGACGCAGGAGAACTGATTGAGCCCAGGAGTTCAAGGCTATAGCGCGTGATGATCACGCCTGTGAAAAGCCACTGCACTTCAGCCCGGGCAACACAGCAAGACCCAACCTCCAAAAAAGGAAAAGAAAATGTTCTAGAATTGAATAGCTGTGATGGGCGCATAACTTTAAGAATATACTAAAAACCAGGGATCTGTACATTTATGTAAAGGAATGTATTTTGTAACGTGAATTACATCCATTTGAAAATTTACTAGGAAAAAATAGCAAGTTATTAAAGACTAAATTCTCTATGAGGAAGGGTGTATGTTGACTATGGGCGAGGCACAGTGGCTCACACCTGTAATCCCAGCACTTTGGGAGGCCAAGGCAGGAGGATCACCTGAGCTCAGTAGTTCAAGACCAGCCTGGGCAACATGGCGAAATTTCATCTCCATAAATACAAAAAATTAGCCAGGTATGGTGGTGCACGCCTGTAATCCCAGCTACTCAGGAGGCTGAGGCAGGAGAATCTAGAACCACCAGGAGGTGGACCTTGCAGTGAGCCAAGATCACACCATGTGGCACTCTAGCCTGGGCAAAAGAGCAAGGCTCTGTCTCAAAAAAAAAAAAGAAAGAAAATGTTGATTAAACTCATAACATTCTACTTATTAAACTGGACAATAGATTTATGGGTAAATTGATTTATACCTGTGCAATATCCAATAAAAAATAAAAATTTTAAAACAGCAATATATTTTTCTTGTTTTTTTTTTTTTGAGACAGAGTTTTACTCTTGTTACCCAGGCTGGAGTGCAATGGCGCGATCTCGGCTCACCGCAACCTCTGCCTCCTGGGTTCAGGCAATTCTCCTGCCTCAGCCTCCTGAGTAGCTGGGATTACAGGCACACACCACCATGCCCAGCTAATTTTTTGTATTTTTAGTAGAGACGGGGTTTCACTGTGTTGACCAGGATGGTCTCGATCTCTTGACCTCGTGATCCACCCGCCTCCGCCTCCCAAAGTGCTGGGATTACAGGCGTGAGCCACCACGCCCGGCCATTTTTCTTGTTTTTTAAGCTATGATCAACACAAAATTAAATCTGATTTTTTTTTTTTTTTTTTTTTTTTTTTTGAGACAGGGTCTTGCTCTGTCATCCAGGCTGGAGTACAGTGGTGCAATCATGGCTCACTGCAGCCTTAAACTCCCAGGCTCAAGTGATCCTCCCACCTCAGTCCCATTACAGTCATGAACCACTGCGCCTGGCCCTAAATTTGAATTTTTTTTTTTTTTTTGAGATGGAGTCTCACTCTATTGCCCAGGCTGGAGTGCAGTGGCATGATCTCGGCTCACTGCAAACTTCACCTCCTGGTTTCAAGCAGTTCTCGTGCCTCAGGCTCCCAACTAGCTGGGATTATAGGTATACGCCATCATCCCCAGCTAATGTTTGTATCTTTAGTAGAAACGGGGTTTCACCATGTTGGCCAGGCTAGTCTCGAACTCCTGACCTTGGGTGATCTGCCTGCCTCAGCCTCCCAAAGTGCTGGACTTCTAGGCATGAGTCATCGTGCCTGGCCCTAAATCTGAATTTAAATGACCATAAGCTGGCAGTCAACCTCAACTAAGGAACCACCATGTGCAAAGCACTATAAAAGCTACTATAGGGAGTTTTAAAAGAGGCAGTAACAATCATAATCCAACAAGGAACCCATAATCTAAACCATACCTGGCCACTAGCTCCAGAAAGCCATAAACCAGCTTCCCCATTGAATAATCTTAGTCAAGCTTTTGTCACTCCCAGCAGCAGCTATTAGTTTAAGTGACTCATTTCATACAATTAAACAATTAAAATATTAAATACATTTTACTTTGCACTTCAAAAATGTATTTTGAAAATCTCTTTCATCTCCCTTTTATAAGTCTGCTTTTAAAGGACTCAGGACAGAAGCAGGTTTAGAGCATGCTTGGTGAATTGTGAAGAACTTGTATACAAGGCTTAGTTTTTCACTTGAAGTCATGTATTTTTAAAGCCCTGACTTAAATGATATCTTTAGATTATCACACATTCTCATCTAGGCTCTATTACAGCTTAGTTTCTGAATATTCATATAATGACATCTTAAAGTGCCTGTTTGTAAGATACAATCTAGATAGACATAGAAGCTTTCTAAAAACAATCAAGATTTCCTTCAAGACTTAAAATAGCTTGAAGGTAATCTAAAATTGTATCTATGTTTCCGGTTTTACCAAAGAATGGCAAATGCGAATGTTAACTTGAACCGTCCCTTTCCACTGAGAAGGTTCATATTCTTAATTTATATTACAGTTTTGGAGATATATGCTCCAGAAATGTTATCACTCCAGTAAATAATTCAGTAACATACTTCCATTTTAGGATATTTATTTATTGATACAAATAACTTGATAATGAATTAATGTCAACTTCTCTTTGGTTGTACAAAACAATGGTGTTGCTAGAGAAGCTAATGGAATTTGTGGACAAAGAGCCCAGGGGTGTTGCTGTTATATATATACACATATATATATATATATATATATATGTATGTATGTTTTTTTTTTTTTTTCTTTTTTGAGATGGAGTCTGGCTCTGTCGCCCAGGCTGGGATGCAGTGGCACAATCTCAGCTCACTGCAACCTCCACCTCCCAGGTTCAAGTGATTCTCCTACCTCAGCCTCCCAAATAGCTGGGATTATAGGCACCTGCCACCATGCCCAGCTTATTTTTGCATTTTTAGTGGAGGCAGGGTTTCAGCATGTTGGTCATGCTGGTCTCCATCCTGACTTCAGGTGATCCACCCACCTCAGCCTCCCTAAGTGCTAGAATTACAGCCATGAGCCACCGCACCCAGCCAAGCCCAGGGTTTAAACCTAGATCTGCCATTAACAATCGGGGTACTTTGTCAAATCCTCTAAGCCTCAATTTCCACATCTGTAAAATGAAGATAATAGGATCCACCTTGGAGGATAACTGCAAACATGAAATGAGATGATTAACATACTGGGCCTAGCCCACTAGAATGTTCCATAAATGTTGGCCTTCTGTGTTTTCCTTTCCCCTTAAAGCAAAGCCTTGCTAAATAAATGTCCACATAGACACATATATAATTATAATTAAATGTTTATACAGTAAAAAAGTTGGCTTCACCATTTTCTAAATTTTCTCCTTTGCATACGAAATTATAATCTTAAACGGTTTCTCAAAATATCTAATGAGAACCTTAGTTTAAAAAAGTAAAACAAATGACAAAGTAGGAAATAATTCATTCTTAAGCTTATTAATATAATTAGGGGTTTCATTTCTACACCCAAATACCTACTGGTTTCTGCAACGAAGGAAAGCAGTCATGACTTAGGAGGT